TGGACCAATACGAGACCGCGGTTGGGCTATAAATAACCCTTCCCCTCATGAAGGCAATAACTCACCGCGCAAAGACTCGCAGCCGGGTTTGCTGAAAATGCAGGCCAGAGGTAGGTGATTGTGAACTGCCTGAACGTTGTGCTGCTTGCTGCGAGCTGAAGTGGAAGAACATAAGTGGAACGAGGAGAGTCAATGTCCCCTGCCCTTTAAGTGAGGGAAAATCTGGGGGGTGGGGGATGAGATGCCTACACTAGCTTATTATGTTTTAACAGTAGAGACGAAAACAAACTTGATAGCTGCACTGGAAGCTGTCTTAAGGGGTCAAGGATCCCACACGCAAGAAAGGCATAGTTGAAGGACTTGAAAAAGCATTGTTAGAAAGTAGGAGAGAACAAGACAAGAGAGGTTCCGTCTTTATGATTACAGAGGACAGACAAAACGGTTGATCAAATCTCTTCCATTTCTCACGATTTAGATCTACTCTCCAAAACCCAAAAATCAGTCATAAGGAACAATAACCTACTGTCCAAATTTGGGTCGTCATGGACGAGCGACCAGAGGGAAAAACAAGGTTCGCCATAAGGAGTAGGTGGGAAATCGACGGCCAAGATTAATTACACGAAGTGCCTTCAGGGTGAACTTGCAGACAACAACTCTCCCAGGCCAACTATCACCTCAGTCACGAAGCGTTACCGTCATCAATGAAAAATAATGCAATCCGACACCTAAAATAAATCTTCATTTTGCTCTTGCTTTAGGAAAGTGTGGTCAGTGCTCGCTTGCCTAATTCACATGCGCTAATTAAACAGCGGTTTGCGAAAAATTTAAAGAGAAAAATTTAACGATGCCTCTATTTCACCGTCTCCTATGAATCCACCATCGTCAATGCGACCGACGTTGACGATTTAAAACCCAGTTTTCCTCTACCCCTCTTCCCCAGCCCCAACACAAGTTGCACAAATTCACGGAAATGTGACCGCATCGTGACTGGATACGTCATGGATTTGCAGTGACTGCCACTTCCACTTCATTCAACTACCGTCCTGACGGCATGCATGCCTTTCCGGGTTTAAAGACCTCACCTTCTTTGGCACCGATTGTTCATTACTGCATGCCATTTGCCCCACATCTAAAATGTGGGTCCCCTTCAAACCTGGACACGTGGCACCACTTTCAGGTAAGAAATGAAAGCTTAAAAAACCGAGCCATAGCAAATGACAGGATTGTGCGCTTACTCAGCCAAAGAGCGAAGCATGATTGAGGTTGTGGAGTATTCATGGAGGGAATAAGACCCAGTAGCAGTAGCAATGGCGCTTGGAATAGAAGTTGGTCCATCTCGAGGGTTCTCAATGACCAAGGCGACACCATGGGGTTGTTGAGGGAACCACACAGTGACCGTTTCAGAAGCACTGGTTCGATCCACCTTGGCGACGAGAGTGAGACCTTCAGAGCCGCCTAATTCCCCTCCCGAGAAGGTGAAACCCTCAGAACATGCTTCGCGTGGAAAATGAGCCACAGATTCGTCGTTAGTGTGACAAGTGGAGCGAGTGGTAACATCGCGCAATTCGTGACCGTGAGTCAGACCGAACACCCACACAGGGTGGCGTGTGGGATAACCGGAGAGGACCGCAGTGTTTACCAGGGAGGTAGACTAAAATAAAGGAAAAATTGGCCAAGTTTTAACTCACATTATAGTTAAGTGACAAGTTGGCCATACCGATCCTCCATCCAGCCTTCCAAACAGTTAAGGATTCGAGGCCTACACCGGTGATCCTTTTTTTTCCCTTCTTAGAAAACATTGGGACACACAGTGCTAACGAAAAACAGTGGAAAGAACACATCAACTTTCAGCGACCTAGACGAAAGATGCGTAGGAAAAGACTGTCTCTCTCTCTTTCCCATTACATCCAGTCCTACTGCGTAAAGATTGGGTCGAGGTACGACACGTCCCTCACCGATTGGCTACTTCCTTGCCTGAAGACGAACTTCTGCTACACGCCCTCGATTCGTATCTTGCCAAAGAAGTTGACTTCA